TCATAAGGGAAGATTAATAATTTTAAAATTTTCAAAATGAAAATTAAGCATTTTATAATTTTTAGTGGGATATTCCTAAAAGATTAGACAAAATGTAAGTTTTGAAAATGGAGGAGATGTCTCTACAACTTCAGCAAAACGGAGGAAGGTCACTATATTTACTCAATAAAATTCTTAAAAAATATTTGTATTGATAAACAGAATTACAATTTTTAATGTTTTATTTATTCATTAAGTTTCCTATTTCACGCTACTAATCATGTCCTTTATCCAAGTTTTAGCCGAAAAATTCGGCAAGTTAATATTTCGCATGTATATATTTTTGAAACAAAAGAGCAAGAAAAATACTTTCTTAATTCTTAAAGGAATTAATGCTTCCCAAATCATCATTGTTTATGAGCCCTGACCAAAAGTCCACAATGCCATTTATGACAATACTTTTTAATAAATTTAAAATATTGTGTCTGTTTCCCAGATTTTTTTTTTTTGCCAGCAAAAATTGATAACCACATCTTATCAAAAATTTCGAATCAAAGTCACCGAGAAAAATCAAATCAATCTTGCTAAGCAGTTAAAATGGATATTCAATAAAACGAATAAAATATTATCTTATATTAATTAATTTTTATAGCATAATTAATAATTTTAATAGCAATTATGGACTCAACTGTTTCTGATTAAAAAAAGTATTTTCAAGAATATTTAGAGATTTCATAGAGAATATATTGTGCTAAATAATATGTAGATTGTGAAAATCATCGAATATAATGCGTGATCATTTTAAATCCCTCTCGCCCTTATCTTCTTAAATATATTGGATGTATTAATACTCACTATAATTCATTATTAAAATTCAAATTTTAACATGTTTAACAAACAGTAAAATTAATATACAATATTTATATCAAAGAAATCAATGACAATTATAATAGGTAGATTCCAGTCTACGAAGAGTGGATAAAGACTCCAATTTTGAATTCAAAGATGCGAATGAAAATAATGGACAGTACTTTAATTCAAAACATTATGGAAGATTTGCATCGTAAATAACAAATAAGTATATTTAATTGTAGATTTTTTAAGATAATTGGACTTTAAAGTTCAATGACGTTAGAGGTAGCAATTTAATAAATATTTAAAATCGGTAATAATTATACAAAACAGAATATTTCGATCAATGTATTTAATTTAATAATATCAATTACTTAATTTTACTAATTATGTTTTGCAATTCAAAAAATAAAAAGATATTGCAAAATAATAGGTCGATGATGAATAACCCGAACCCGTAGTCTAATATCGCGTCATCTTTTTAAAGCTGCATCACCCAAGTCTTCTTAATTACTAGAGAAAAGGACAGAAAAATCCTATCTATGAAATATAATTGAAAAAAAGGATTATTGCCATCAATTGTCTTCGAATAACAATATTATCACAGATTTAGTTGAGATTCTAAGTTTGACAATAAAATAAAACCATATCTCATGAGATTTGAAAACGTGCAGGAGTTTGTTTAAAAGGAAAATTAGGTATACATCTTGTGAGGCAGACTTATTTATTAATAAGTTCTATAAATTTGAAAATCATAGCTAAGTTTCTTGAGATTTAAAATTAGAATGCAAAAATAATAATATTCTTATCAAACATATATTACATCAATCAAATAATTAATTTACAATTATTTCATCAGCAATTTACAACTATAATTTTGACCTTTTACAATTGTAATTTTACATATTTAAAGTTAAATTGATATGTGAAATTACAATTGTAAAAAATTAAAATTATAGTTACAAAATACTAATAAAGTAACTATAAATTATTTAATTGATGTAATGTATATATATGTTTGATATGGTCATTATTGTCTTCTCATTCCAATTTCAAATTACACTTAGGTTTCAAAGGACCCAGTTCTGGTCTTTAAATTTTATGGGACCTATTTATAAATAAATTTATTCAATGGGACCTATAAAATTTTCCCTAGTTAAAAAGATCTATAAATAGGAGCGACTTATTGGAGAAAAATTATACGTGCTTTTCAATTGGAGTGAAGCGATTCTTGTCACCGAAGAAAACGAAGATGGATGAAGACTATTCTAATTGTTCACAGAAATCTGAGGGGCAAAATGAACACAGGCAACAAGAGGTACGTATTAGCAATTGCTTTTAAAATCAAAACATCCTTTGTTTGATTAATTTCTGTGACTGTTATGAAGATGGAAGCATTGGATGAAGAAGTAAGGAGAAAGAGAAGGAGGAATGAAGAGCTAGTGACTATGCTGCGTGAGTACAGTATGTCAATAACATTGGCTACTTATACAAAACTGCTGAAACGTGACGATACTGATTTGAATCCACCATATAACCGGAGCAAGAGCCTTGAAGATGCAAAGGAAAGATTAAAGATTCTTGAGGAACTTGATTACCATTCAACGTGTGCTTCTTATCACGAAAGCAAGCATGACGAAGCAATGGAGGTTTTATATGATTATTACGAAAAACGTGAGAGGAATGAAGACTTAGAGAAAGAGCTCGAGATGCTACAGGAATCAACGCGTGCGGCTGAGACGGCTATATATCATTTCAAGAAGGAACGGGAAGCAATCGTTGCCTTTGGAGAAGAAACGTAACTATCCTAAAAGTCATCCTCTCCCAGAATGCATTAAGAAAATTAAATATCTTACTATCAAAGATTGAACAATTATCATTGATTAGAGAAGCATCGACTTGCTAGCCCATCAAACATCTCGTGATAGTTTTGATAGTATGATTTTAGATAATTTGATTATAGTCTCTTTAAGCCTTGTTAAAAAAAAAGGTCAATTTCATTAATGATCATGCCTATTATTTTCCTTTAATGTTTAAATGACCTTAAAAATGCTAATTATTTACAAGAATGTAACCGATGGAAATGACAAAATTTTAACATTCAGTTTTTTTTCCAATTTATTGTCAATTATGTAATAATTTGCAACTCATGTTTTAAAATTTATTAAGTGATAATTATAAATGGAATTTTATTTTTTTGATAAAATATGAATGAAATTTGATATCCACTCCACCATATATCTCATATTTTGGAAGTTGTATCATAATAAAGGTCGCCAATTGTGAGTTTAATTAAATTTAAATAAATTCTGCAAATTTTCTCGCCCACAACTGGCTCTGTCATTCTCAATCATCATTATGTATGTAAAAGTGGGATTAAAGGCTATGAAAAAAATTACATGTTTATTTTTAAGTGTGATTCTCTGGAGTCAAGTTTGGGGTTCGATTCAAAATTTTTTATTATTTTTTAATGTATACAAAATATATTATTTAAGGTTGGAGTTAGGTGTAGGATAAATTATTAATTTTTAAACATATACAAAAATTATTTAGATTTAAATTAATATTTATCTATTTAAAGTTTTCATTCACCCTAAAAATATGCCAAAAATTATTATTTTATATTTTTTTATACAATTCTAAAATTATATTTTATTAAAATTAATTTGCCATGTATGTGGAAGATTTTTTTGAAAATATCTATCTATTTGAATCTAAATTAATATATATATATATATATATATAAAAGAATCTGTGTTTAAAATTTTTGATCTATCTTAATCATTTCCTAAAATTAAGCCTCAAATAGGCATATTATTTTTGAAATCTTCCGTAAAATCTATTTGACATTTATTTTTCTTTAGCTAGATCTATCTTTTTTGATTGCACATATATTAAAAAGAAATAGAATTAAAAAATATTGAAGTAAAGCATATTATATATTCAGTTAAATTATTCCTATTAAATAAAATTCTTTAAATTAAAAAATTTGTAAAGGAATATTAAATTTGAATCATAAAAAGTTCTATTGCTGACAAGGCCTAGTTAACTAAACATTTTTTGCTCACATTCAAAATTGGCGTCCAAGTTAACAAAGGACTAGATCTGATATCAAATTTAGGATACATATATGTCGGAATAATGAAATTTGATTATTCTAGGAAATTTGATTATACTACAGTTCTGCAACAGTGACCATGTGTTCATAATAACAGTGTCATTTGTAATTTTTGTGTTGCTCAGTACTTGTAGAAAATTTATATCAATAACTTTCATTCTGAGTTGCTGTTCTCAGTCTGTAAATCTGTGTTTTCTTTTTTCTAACAACAAAGGCATGTTTCTCATACCAAAATAAGGCCAAATAGAAGTATCTTTTAGTTTGGCTTAGTTATCAAGCCTTTGCATACACAAGGAACAAATTGTCATATAAAATATAATTCAAAAGATATATATTGAGATTTCATCAGCACCCAAACGTTAGTTATATAACAATGACAAGTTTCACATCACACACAAAAACAAAGCCAAATAACGATGCCTTTGAACTAAAACAAGTTATAATCATCACTATATATTATGACCTGCTTTCGCTTATTTACTATTGAAAGCAGCAATACCTTGATGTACACACGCAACAGAGGAACCGGAAGGACCCCCAAGAATACAGTCATTTAAGCAAGGAATTTCAAAAAACAAAACCGGCAAAAGTATAATCATTAGATTTAAAACTACAAGTCATTACAAGAAGCATAGCTTTCAGTTCGAAAACAATTGGGCAGTAAACTTCATAAAGGACTGGAGTTTCACATTCGTAATAACCCAAAATTTTTTTTAAAAAAATTAAAAATTAAAATTAAAATTAAAATTTAAAAATACATAATATAGTGTTTAAGTGTATTTATATTAATTTTGGAATAAATTAGTAAGGAGAAGAGTTTGTCTAGTGGCAATTATATTGCTACTTATTTAGTAGGTCATGAGTTTGAATCTTATGGGCCAAGAGTGCAAATTTTCATATTTTTTCTTTTGCTTCAACCTATTGACAAAATTACAATAATGCCCTTCTGAAAAAAGAAAAAGACAGAGACAGAGACCTAAATGCGTGGCTTCTTCCGTTCTTATATTTTTCTTTTCTCCGCCGAAGAGTCCAGAAACAACGGAGAGAGACAGGGAGCTTCGATTTCCTCCAGTCCACTGTCATTCCTTCCCTTCTTCTGTCGTCCTCCACTGTACTTTATCTCTCCCCTCTAGTTTCCGGTGATCGCGCGGTGAAAGTGGAGACTCGGCGTCTCTATGTGATGCCCAGGTTGTCCGTCGTGCTTCCCTGTCTCTACGTGTCTTCTTTGTTGCTTCTCTGTTCTCGCTGTTCACGTACACGTAGCTGGGGTCCGAGAATCAGGTCGCCGGAGCTGGTAGGGTTGTTCGCGAGCTCATCTCTGTTTGGTCTAGTGCTGTGATTCTGTTTTCTTCCTTTCGTGTGTACCCTGTCTCTGATTCGTTCCCTGTGCAGCTCGTGATCTTCTTTTTCCTTCTTCTTCTATTGTTGCTGTGGTTGAGTGCATCTGGTCTTTGACTCCCTTTAGCCTGCTTGTGCATTTCCGAAGAGAGAAAGAGGAGTGGTCTGCCATTGGTTGAAGCTGGAAACAGGAGAACTCCTCTCCCTGTTCTGTCGGCTTCTTCTCGTTCTCTCCCTCCTCTGTTACTGTTGGTACTTAAGGTGAGGATTTTTGAACTCTTCTTGATAGTTTGGTGTAAAAAGATTTCGAATAGTGATTTTAAACGTTATAAAAGTAGGGAGGCAACCATTCTCTTCCATTCTATAAAGCAAGGCCTCTGCTTCATCAAGCAAACCCTGTTTGCAAAGTCTATGAATCATAGAATTATATATATGGACATCGAGTCAATAACATTTGGCCACAGGATAATGAAAAATCTTCCATGCATCATCTAATCTACCACCTTTTCATAAACCATTAATAAGTACGGTGTAGGTCTTCATGGTAGGCTGAAATCCTTGATTAACCAATTGCTCAAATAGTGTGATTGCCTCATCAAGAGAACCCCTTTTGCAAAATGCGTCTAATAAGATTGTGTAGTGATTATATTAGGATGATGACCCCTATCACGCATCTTATAGATAACACCTTGGCCACGTGACATTTTCCCAGATTTTGCACAAGCCATCAATAACAGAATTATAAATTACAACATTAGGAATCAAATTTTCATAATGCAATTCCTTAAAGAGATGCACGGCTTCATCCACCATTTTCATCTTAAAGTATGCATTGATTAAGATACTATAACTGAAAATGTTAGGTTCCAAACCCCCTTTTATCATCCTATTAAAAACTCCCTTAGCCGCGACAGTATTATTAGTCAAACATTGCCCATCCATTAAAGCACTATAGGCAATCACATTAGGTTTTTTTATCGCTCTTCATCATCCTAGCAAAAATAGCCTCAGGTTCCATAATCCTTCCTTCTTTACATAATGCATCAACTTGGATGTTAAAGGTATAAACATCAGCAAAGATGTCTTTCAATACCATTTCACTGAGCAATTGATTTGCTTCTTGCCACTGATGCATAATGCAAAAACAGTAGATTAGACTGTTGTGCGTAACAACATTTGGTGATATCACATGATCAATCATTTCATAACACAAACCACGTGTATCAGTGACCAGTCCATCTTTGCAAAATGTATCAATGATTGTGTTGTAGACAACTACATTTGGTTTCACTAACTTTCTTTCCATCATTTGCAACAATTTAATGGCAGATCTTGTTTTCCCCGATTTACATAGCCCATTGATCAACGTGGCATAAGTAAATTGGTCCAAACTGAAATCCTTTAGCCATTATGTCATCATAGAAATCTAGTGCCTAGCTAACGTTTTGATTTAAACACAGTCCTTTTACTAGCATATTCAAAGTTACCACACACAGATGATAACCCAACTTGAAAATTTTCCCCAAAACAGGGAAAGCATAATCCATCTGACCAACGATGTAGTAGCAGTTCATCAAGAATTTGTAATAATTTTTCACAAAAGTTTTAAATAATTTATGCCATTTTTTTATGAACATAATTTTTGTGATTTTTAAATGCAAATATGATTTGTGGGTTTTAAATCTAACAAAATCCCATAGTTCTGTTTACAGAAGTGGGATAGTTGCAAGGCATGTGAAACAAAAGAATGGGTAGTAATGAAAAGCCTTCAGGATTTGGGATTCAATAATGTTCTTTTTATGAATGGATTGAAGATTGTTTTGTTAGAATATGATTGTAAGCATCTAGTTGTTCATGTTAACAATAAAACCACTAGCAAAGACATGTACAGTCTACATAGTCCAAATCTCATCAAGGTTGATTGATGAACACGAAAGATAAACTCAATACTCAAAATGCTATAGTGTAGCTGGAAAGTGAAAATCTTGAATTTTTTTTTTGTAAAAAGGACAAATTATATGAATTAGAGAGATAAAAGTATATGTTATGAGTATCATATCAAGGGGCTTCGATGAAGTGGGATTTATAAGTTCAAGAAATTCTTCCTTCTAACAAGTTAGTCTTGTACAATGTTTCTTTAGACTTGTACACATAACATTGATGTTTTTATTGAAATCCTAGACGAGTGAAGTGCGGTGAAGTGAAACTATCCTATATGTTGGTTTTCGAATGAGGTGACATTATCATGGCTCCTGCATCACGTTAAATCAAATCTAGAAGTAGCTGAAATAAAGAGGTATTTGAAGATTTGCAAGACCCAATTGTTCTTTTGTAGGACTACAATAATGGGTTTGATATTGTCATAACATGAAAAAAAGAATTTGATCTGAATGTAGATAGAATTGTTGTGACCATATTTGATGAAGAGAACGATGATATGTTTTTGGAATGAATGATTTCATTTTGCCTTGACCATTTGTTGTAAGCAGTAATGATATATTAAGTCCAAACCAAATAGCTATGGCAAAATCATGTGTTATGGATTTCAACCTCCCAAGCTTGTAATTTTTCATTATGTTGAACTTAGCCCACCTCTTTATCAAAATAGAATTATTTCCCTGTGTTGGGGTAAAAATGCTTAATTATCTCTCCTCTTATGTTAATTGGCTTGTTTCCTTCTTCTAAGTAGTTAATATTCTTCTACTGAGGCCTTTAGAGGATTTCATCCTTAGTTTAAATGGTCATGTAATGAGAAAGAATATGTATTTGGAGTCTGCATCTCTCCCTAAAATACCTTTTTTTTTTATTTCACCGAGAAGTTCCATTGATTCTTTAACATAAATTGGTTAGGACCTCTACGTAGTTTCACCCAAGCTTCACCTTAGTCATGGATAGATCACCCAAATTTAGGTCCATAAGCAGTGACAGTTGCCCTATGAAGACTTGTTTTTGCTATAGCTTTGGTGGATTCCCTTAACCAAGCCATTGCCTTTGAGTCGCTAGCAAATTCTTCAACAAGCATGCAATAGAGCCCTAAGCTCCTCCTATTGCTTGGTGGCTTACAATTTATTGTCTTTTTAACTCCTTGATAGGGGTTCTTTTCACCCTCCCTTCATGGTATTACTTCACTAAATCATCATCAAATTAGGAATATTATAATTGTGGCAAGCACTAATGGTTGCTTTGAAGTGAAAACTATAAATCAAATCTTCATATGTTCTACAATTTTGATAGAGCTATTTGATTTTTGCTTAACAATCTTGAAAGGGGATCAAGAGAAGGTAGTCTTCTTCAAAAGGCTATTATTCTTACTTATTTTACACATAGGAAAAGGATGAAAATGTTAATCTAAAAGTAGACATTTCCTGTGATGAAGTTTCGTGAAGTTAAACTCTTTCACACTACACAACGTTGCTTCAATTCATTTTTAATAATAACAATAAAAAAAGTCATCTTAAAATTTGAAGGATAGACATTCAATAAAATAAAACTGAGTGATATAATTAAGATTTTGTTCTATACAATATGGTACAGAAACCAAACAAAAGAGAAAACTTTGATTTTTATTTCCAATTTGAACTGACTCTTACGACAAAGCTAGTTCTATTTATAGTGTTAGGGTTTTGAATGTAATAGGCAAGCAGAGAAGGCATTACAAATGTAAATGCTAGATGTTTTTTTATAGCTTAATAAAGGTGTAAACGAAACAACATTTTTGCTTCATTTTTCTAACTCTCATGTGTCTGTTTTGTGTTTGTTTCAGTCTGTTTCATCCTCCTGGGGTTCAGTAGAACTCGCCTTCGAGTCAAATTTGGCATCTTGATCAATGTAAGGGGATAGATCAACAATATTGAAGGTGGTAGATACACCATAAGAATTAGGTAATTTCACCTTGTAAGCATTGTCGTTGATTTTTTGCACTATCTTGAATGGATCATTAGTTCTGAGGGATAGCTTGGCATTTTGTTGTTTAAGAAATCATTCCTTTCATAAATGTATCCAAACTAAATCACCCACATTAATAGTTTAATACTTTCAATGCTTGTCATGTTGAGTCTTGTATCTTAAGTTTTGCTTCTATATTCATGTATGAACAAGTTCATGCAATTTCTTGATTTCCTTAGCCCTTTAGTCAGCATCAGAACTATATTACTGCTTATTAAGTGAAGGGGTCAAGTCTAGCGGATTAAGGGGCGAGTGTCGCAAACAACTTTGAATGGATACTTCATAGTTGCTTGATTAACAGAGTTATTATAGGCAAATTCAACTTGAGCAAGAACGAGATCCTACTGCTTCAAATTCTTCCCCACGAAATTGCGAAGAAGATTATCAAGAATCCTATTTATAGATTATCAAGATTTCATCCTTAGTTTAAATGGTCATGTAATGAGAAAGAATATGTATTTGGAGTCTGCATCTCTCCTTAAAATACCTTTTTTTTTTTATTTCACCGAGAAGTTCCATTGATTCTTTAACATAAATTGGTTAGGACCTCTACGTAGTTTCACCCAAGCTTCACCTTAGTCATGGATAGATCACCCAAATTTGGGTCCATAAGCAGTGACAGTTGCCCTATGAAGACTTGTTTTTGCTATAGCTTTGGTGGATTCCCTTAACCAAGCCATTGCCTTTGAGTCGCTAGCAAATTCTTCAACAAGCATGCAATAGAGCCCTAAGCTCCTCCTATTGCTTGGTGGCTTACAATTTATTGTCTTTTTAACTCCTTGATAGGGGTTCTTTTCACCCTCCCTTCATGGTATTACTTCACTAAATCATCATCAAATTAGGAATATGATAATTGTGGCAAGCACTAATGGTTGCTTTGAAGTGAAAACTATAAATCAAATCTTCATATGTTCTACAATTTTGATAGAGCTATTTGATTTTTGCTTAACAATCTTGAAAGGGGATCAAGAGAAGGTAGTCTTCTTCAAAAGGCTATTATTCTTACTTATTTTACACATAGGAAAAGGATGAAAATGTTAATCTAAAAGTAGACATTTCCTGTGATGAAGTTTCGTGAAGTTAAACTCTTTCACACTACACAACGTTGCTTCAATTCATTTTTAATAATAACAATAAAAAAAGTCATCTTAAAATTTGAAGGATAGACATTCAATAAAATAAAACTGAGTGATATAATTAAGATTTTGTTCTATACAATATGGTACAGAAACCAAACAAAAGAGAAAACTTTGATTTTTATTTCCAATTTGAACTGACTCTTACGACAAAGCTAGTTCTATTTATAGTGTTAGGGTTTTGAATGTAATAGGCAAGCAGAGAAGGCATTACAAATGTAAATGCTAGATGTTTTTTTATAGCTTAATAAAGGTGTAAACGAAACAACATTTTTGCTTCATTTTTCTAACTCTCATGTGTCTGTTTTGTGTTTGTTTCAGTCTGTTTCATCCTCCTGGGGTTCAGTAGAACTCGCCTTCGAGTCAAATTTGGCATCTTGATCAATGTAAGGGGATAGATCAACAATATTGAAGGTGGTAGATACACCATAAGAATTAGGTAATTTCACCTTGTAAGCATTGTCGTTGATTTTTTGCACTATCTTGAATGGATCATTAGTTCTGAGGGATAGCTTGGCATTTGGTTGTTTAAGAAATCATTCCTTTCATAAATGTATCCAAACTAAATCACCCACATTAATAGTTTAATACTTTCAATGCTTGTCATGTTGAGTCTTGTATCTTAAGTTTTGCTTCTATATTCATGTATGAACAAGTTCATGCAATTTCTTGATTTCCTTAGCCCTTTAGTCAGCATCAGAACTATATTACTGCTTATTAAGTGAAGGGGTCAAGTCTAGCGGATTAAGGGGGCGAGTGTCGCAAACAACTTTGAATGGATACTTCATAGTTGCTTGATTAACAGAGTTATTATAGGTAAATTCAACTTGAGCAAGAACGAGATCCTACTGCTTCAAATTCTTCCCCACGAAATTGCGAAGAAGATTATCAAGAATCCTATTTATAGATTCAGTTTGACCATCTGTCTGGGGATGACTAGTGCTGCTAAACTAAAGCTTAGTTCCCATCTTCTTCCATAGCATCTGCCAAAAGTAGTTAAGAAATGTCACATCACGATCAAAAGTGATAGTCTTGGGAATGCCATGAAGACATACAATCTCCTTAAAGTACAAGTTTGCTAGTTGAACAACATCGTTAGTCTTCTAGCGTGGAATGAAATCGACTATTTTTTAGAAACGATCCACAACTACCATGATAGAATCTTTTTGCCTCTGAGTTCGTGGTAAACTTAAAACAAAATTCATAGTTACATCTTCCCAAGGTGCTTCTAGAATTGGCAAAGGCATATATTATAACATCCTTAATTTTAAATCTAGATTAATTAAATTTAAATGGATTAGTAAAGTGAATCTTTAAGGTGTGTGACTAGAGAGGCCTAACGGGCATGTTTGATCTTGATTTCAGTACCAAATGTGGGTCCGAAGGAGAATTGGGTTACTTGGGGATAGAAGAGGAATTTCTGAAAGGGGTGGTTTTATGCCACACGTCGTGGCGTGGGGTTGGTCCGCCATGACGCATGCGTGCCAACACGCTTGGAAGAAGCTCTCTGTGCCATGCACCGTGGTGCATTGTGCATCCGTCACGACGCATGGCCAAAATTTTGCAGTATTAAGTCGCGAATCTGAAGTGAAAATGAAGAGAAAACAAAAAGAGATTGAAGGAGTGGGAAAAAAGCTGAGCTAGGGCTTAAAGAAACTGATTGTTGGGAGTAATTTGGAACTTATAAACACCTAAGGTTAGCTTTTTAATTTAAATCTTCCTTTTTTCTTCCATTTTCTTGATGGTAGAGGTTAGGGTTTGATTTTTAATGGTGATTTTTGGTCTATAGAGGTTATTTGTTCGAACCCATTGACTTAAATAGAGTTAATGGGGATAGATTGAGCTAAGTAAACTTGATATTTATGATTTTATGATGATGGGTGGTTGGAGGACATTAAATGTTTGAAATTCCCATAAATTTGGTGGTTGGGAATAATGTGGCTTCATTAATGTTCATTTAAGAGCTTAATGTTATTAATGAGAGTTAAAAGAAGCTAAGAAACCTTATGGGTACTTCTACATGAGTTTAGAGTAAAGTTTGAGTATTAAGAAATGATGAAAATGTTAGTGAAAAATAGCTCAAAATAGATATTAATGTTTTGCATAATAAATGCTTGTAGTGTAATTACTATTAGCACCATTCAAGCTTCTTGAAAGCTTCGGGAGTGAATGGTTAAGTGGTGAAACTTTTAACTTCTCAAAGGTTTAAGATAATTGCAGGAATTCTATCTTATGCTTGTGTGTTTATTAGTTTATTAATTTATGAATTATCATTTAAAATGTGTAAAATAAAAGAAATGCAAGTGTGACTTAACTTGTGAAGAAATTTACTAGATCAATTTGTGAGTGTTATGCCTTATGATGCAAAATTCTTTGAGAACAATAACAACATCAACAACAATAAGCCTTTATCCCACTAAGTGGGTTCGGTTACATGAATTGCAAGACGCCATTGTGCTCTATCATTTATCAAGCTTTTAGGAATATTATTAATTAAGAGATCGCGTTCAACAACTTCCAAAAGTGTTCTCTTAGGCCTTCCTCTACCCCTCTTAATCGGACTCAAAGTTATATGTTCCACTTTTCTCACTGGTGCCTCCCTTGGTCTTCTTTGTACATGCCCAAACCATCTCAACCGATTTTCTACCATTTTTTCCTCAATAGGTGATACCCTCACTTTTTCACGTACGTGCTCATTTTGAATTTTATTTTTACATGTATGTCCGCACATCCATCGTAACATTCTCATCTCTGCTACTCCAACTTTATGCTCTTGCTGTCCCGTTAGAGCCCAGCATTCACTACTATATAACATTGCCGGTCTGATAGCAGTGCGATAAAACTTTCCTTTAAGTTTATTAGGCACTTTACGGTTGCAAATAACTCCTTTAGCTTTTCTCCAATTAAACCACCCAGCTTGAATTCTATGTGAAATATCTTCACTGATTTCGCCATCATTTTGAATAATGGCTCCTAAATATTTAAACTTTTTCACTTGAGGTATAATTTGATCTCTCAATTTTACTTCTAAATTATTGTCGAATAGTCTCTTATCAAATTTACAATATAAATATTCTGTCTTACTCTTACTCAGACGAAAGCCTTTCAATTCCAATGTCCTCCTTCATAACTTAAGTTTGCAATTAACCTCTTCTCTTGTCTCTGCTATAAGAACTATATCATCTGCGAAGAGCATACATTTAGAAATTTTCCCTTGAATATGTTCTGTTAAAACATTTAAGATCAAGTTGAACAGATAAGGACTCAGAGATGATCCTTGATGTAGTCCAATCTTTATAGAAAAATCCTTTGTTCGACCACTAGGCATTCTTATACTAGTTTTTACCCCCTCATACATATCTTGTATGGCTTTAATATAAGTAATCTGTACTTTCTTTTTTCCAACGCTTTCCAAAGCACTTTTCTTGGTATATGGTCATAAGTTTTTTCCAAATCAATAAAAACCATGTGTAAATCTTTATTTTTACAACGATACTTTTCCATTAATCCCCTTAGTAGATAAATCGCCTCTGTAGTTGATCTACCTGGCATAAAACCAAACTGATTCTTAGAAATACTTGTCTCCAATCTCAACCTGTGTTCAATTACTTTCTCCCACAATTTCATTGTGTGGCTCATGAGTTTAATCCCTCTATAGTTAGTACAATTTTGAATATCTCCTTTATTTTTATAAATAGGAATTAATGTACTTCTCCTCCACTCATTAGGCATTTTGTTAGACCGTAAAATCACATTAAATAACTTAATTAACCATCTCACCCCTTCTTCACCTAAACATTTCCACGCTTCGATAGATATACAATCAGGTCCGTTGGCTCTATCATTTGCCATTTTCTTAAG